TGACTGCAATAAGCTTAGCTCAAAGCGATCCAGCAATGCTTAAACGAAATATAAATAAAAAATGATGCACACCAACAGTTGCGATCATGCATTTTTGCGCAGTTATTCGCAGCACTAAGATCGTTATCAGTGAAAAAACATTCACTTTTTTGCAGTTTGATATGTGCACTCACGCTGAAAAAATTCCTCCTGGGTTTTTTCCAAGTTCAACGGAGACAGCAAACGTATCAGAAAGCTCATTTTATGCTTTCAGGGCAACAGATTACTAAGTAAATCTTAATAAATGCACTACTGCCTACTTACATTTTCCTACTCAATCTGATTCTTGAATTAAAAGGGTGCCCCCATCCTGAACTTCCATTTATGCGTTCGTGAGACGAAGGTATGTCCCCATGGTCAACTTGGACGAAGGCATCCTCGAGAAATTTTAGCTTTCTAGCTTCTTTTCTTTCTGAAATTGCTTTCCACCAAAAATATTTATCCATGTGCGATATCTAGGCAAACATGAAAGCTGAATTTAAGCCTTTTAGGTCGCCTACGGATAGGAGACATTCCTGTATAACTTAGTTTACTAGCTTGGTTGGTTCCCGAAATCGCTCCCCGCCAAAAATGATCAGAAATGCCGGCACACAAAAAGTATGGGGCCGCGAACGCCCATTCCGAGTCCGGGAACTCATCCGCAGTGATCGGTCAGGTCTTCAAAATTTCAGCTTCATATTCCTCGTAGATCTGAAGGTTGAAATACGCGGATACAAACACACGCAACATACTCACACAACCTCTCGGCAGTATGCGTTTTTGCACTTCACGATCGATATAAAAATGCATTAAAAATTACCAGATGTATAATCGGACAGCCGGAATTATGAAAAACACCTGTCTAAGTGTACCATGTTTCATTAAAATTGCATGAAAAATACGCTAAGTGTAACTCCCACTTAAGAACAAAGTTCCTTCCCTTTCTCATATATATTAATGTGTGAAAGACGGGATTTACTTTCAGCAAGGAGTAGGGGAAGCTGGCGCTTTTTTTATCAGCTTGGCAAGAACCGAGATTTTAAGCATAAAAGAAGGCGCTACTTGCTTGTGCTACAAACCCGTCAATGCTTGTACATAAAGAGGAATTTTCCTTTCCAGTGCCTCTCTTCCTCTTTTTTTTGCCCTTACTTCCAAAAAAAAAAAAAGAGAAAAACATTAAAACAAATGTAAATATAACGTAAAGAATACAAATTCAGAAAGAGTTATAATACTACTAAATGACACGATAAACCTTTTCACTGTGGGAATCTGAGGCAAATCGTTCTAAACTCGAACAGTTAAACTTTAAAACTAAATAAGTTAGAAGTCCCCTAAGCTACTACTCATTGGAATGTATTGATTTTTTCATCAAAATCAAATGGCAGCAAATATATTCACATCTTCAGCA